CAAAGAAGCAAAAAAAAAAAAAAATTTGCCCCAAATTACGTAAGAATGGGGTAAACACAGCCGTTTTATTTGCTCATATGAGATGATTTGCAAATCGGGCGTTACTTTTGGTGGCTACTGTACGTATTATATTTAAATTTTTAATTTATTTATTACCATTATAGTAATTATTGAATGTATCCTGAGTGCTGATAACATGCACATACTAATTGTTTATCGATCATCATACAAACCAGATCTAATGCATCAAAGAGATCTTCAACTAATTCTGCCCAAATTTTATTTTGGCGTAAATAATTTTTTATATAAAAAAAAGCTTGCTCGATCTACAATAAAAATATAAAATATAAAATAATTTATTAAATTATTATATAATATGTATAATTACTATATATATATACAGTATATATAGTATATATATATGGTATATATATGATTACCGGATTGAAGTCTGGTGAGTAGGCTGGTAAAAATTCTAATTGAACTCCATTTTCTTCACAAAGATCCTGTAGATATTGACTTTTGTGTATAGACGCATTATCTAATACCAATACACTATATTGTTTAGGAAATAGATTCATCTTTGGCAACTATAAATTTATTATATAATATTAATTGATACTATATATATTATATATACATTAAGTTTTAATAAAGTTCTTCTGTCATAAGCAGTTTTGTCTGAAAAAATCAACTGACTTGGTGTATACTGAGACATTCGTAAAATAAAATTATTTCTGTCATCTTCGTTTTTTTCTTTTGCAAGTTTTGAAAGCTATATATAAAATTAAAATTTTGATAAATTTATAAAATAAAAAATATATATATAACTATATAAAATATATGAAATATTACTTTTTTATGAGTATATCCAAGTCAGTGTATTGCCCTCCAAATTGTTGTAAGACTAATGTTATGTTCCAACCAAAGCTCTATTTCAGATTGTAACTCATACAAATACCAGTCAGGTTTTTCCTTCATTAATACTTTAAGATATTTTATATCATTTGTGTTTAGTGAACATAGTTTTCCTGAAAGCAATAGAAGTTTTTCAACACATCCATATTTTTGAAAATGTTTTAGAACCCGGCTTACAGAAGATATACTAACACTTAAGTGTTTGGCAATTTTTCGAAAAGATAGGCCTTCTAAATTTTTTTCAATAATTTTCCAGCGAAGTTGCTTCGAAATAGAGATTGGAACCGGTTTTAATAATTCGAGTTTATCACGTGAATTTTGTGATATTTTAGAATTTAATCCAATTAGATTCCAATAAATTCTAAAATATCACAAAATTCACGTGATAAACCCGAATTATTAAAACCGGTTCCAACCTCTACTTCGAAAGTATCATATGTTATATACAGCCAAGAATTTAGTATTCATATAATATTTATATTGGTTACTTGATCTTAAATTACGTAATATATCAATTTTATTGAATCTATCAACTTAACTGGATCGGCTGAAAAATCATTCAGCCAATTTTTATCAGGTGTTCCAGAAATTATGAAAGTAGTAGTAAGCTTAATTTAGGCCGAAATTCATAATTTCACCCCTGCGCATTATTTCGCGGTAATACGGTACAATCAATTTTATACTCTTAACAATTAACACTTTGATAAAATCATGATAGTTTATCATCTAGTAATTAAAATTACATAATTATAGTGCTATCAAATTTGCTTTATTAAGGCAAATATAAGGCGGCATAAAAAAAATAAATTGGTTTTCATATCCCAGCCGGGTCAGAATTGATCAGAGTCAAAATTTTATTTTTATGCCGCAGTAGGTAAGCAGCCAATAAGAATGCATGATTTCATTGTTATAAAATAGGATCGTAGTAAATGTATTTTATTTTATACTTATAAAAAATAAGCGATTTTATACATATAATAAAAGATTTCTAAAAACTATATGATTTAATTATTTTGTTCGGCGCTGTTTTCCCTTTTTGTTCGTACTTGGACTCCACTTATAACGCTTTTTTGGTAGAGATTTTCCACCACATCTGGCACAAAATGGACGTTCACCTTTTGAAGGATTTGTTATATCCCTATTGCCACACAAAAAGCAAACTGGGGGAAGATTCCTGCCGAATAGTAGGTTTTTCAATTGAAGATGCACAACTCCAAGAATCATTTACAAAGACACGTTGAAAGAGCTTGTAGATAGGATCGTCCTTTGTGAATCTATTTTCAGGTTCGCCAGTTTCTTTGTTCGCCGTATAGCTTGAATCTTCATTAATCTCTGTGTTTCCTATATATGAGCAACTAGCTCTAGTAATCACATCGTTTTGTTGGATTTCATCTTGCTGGCTTTCAACTTGTAGATCAATTTGTTTGTCGTCACTTAGTTGGTCGTCACTTAGTTGGTCGTCACTTAGTTGGTCGTCAATTAGTTGGTCATCAATTAGTTGGTCATCACTTAGTTGGTCGTCACTTAGTTGGTCGTCACTTAGTTGGTTGTCAATTAGTTGGTTGTCAATTAGTTGGTCGTCACTTAGTTGGTCATCACTTAGTTGGTCGTCACTTAGTTGGTCGTCATTTTGTTGGTCGTCACTTAGTTGATCGTGGTTGTCACTTAATTGGCTGTCACTTTGTTCATCGCTTTGTTGGTCATTATTATTCTCAACATCGATAGTATCGGCATTAATGAAACTGGTGGAAGCAAGATCACAGGTATTATGAAAAGACATTCTGCATGTGTATAAGATCGTGTCTAGGAAAGATTCTAATATTTTACGCTCTTTTTCTATTAATTTTTTTGAACTAAACAACAAACGCAGTTTCTCATATTCTGAACAAGTAACAAAAATTCCTATGTTTCTTGCACGTATAGAGGAAGGGCTAAACGGTATGGTATGCTTTAGATTAGATTTTACTTTACCTAACTTGGTGGATCGTAATTTAGCATTTTTGAGCGAGGGTCTATATTCTTCCATTGTATGTGTGCCATATAACTTATCAAATGATTTATAATGAACACCTTTGCTAGGAACTGGATTAGAGATACAATGAAGTTGTTCAAATTCTTCTTCGAAGCACTGAAGTGGTAGGCAAATTATACATCTTTCGTTTCCGCATTTCTTAATGGTGAAAAAATAATGTTTTATGGTACAACAATATTCGATAAATTTCTTCAACCGTGGCTACAAGAAGGTAAGTACCATAGTTATTGTCGGGGATGATGCTGAAATTTTGACTTATTTTATTATGAAAATGTAAAATTTTTTT